ATCCAGCCGTCCGGCTCCCTCGGCCCCTGGACGCCGGGGCCGCCGCGCGCCAGTCGCGGGCTGGTGCAGAACGTCGACCGACTGTACTCCGGCGGCGGCAAGGCGGGCTACCTGGTGTACGCGGGCGGCCGCAGATTCCTCCTGGACCTGGAGCGGGACGATTCGCTGGGCGCCGCGGGCTGGGTGCCGGCGGGGGGCGGGCTGAGCGCCCCCGGGCGGCGCCACCGCGGCCGCTGCTTCTACCGGGGGACGGTGGATGGCAGCCCTCGATCCCTGGCTGTCTTTGACCTCTGTGGGGGTCTCGACGGCTTCTTCGCGGTCAAGCACGCGCGCTACACCCTCAAGCCGCTCGCGCGCGGGCCCTGGGCCGAGGCGGACGCGGACGCGCAGAGGGTGTATGGAGATGGATCGACGCCCATCCTGCACGTCTACACCCGCGAAGGCTTCAGCTTCGAGACCCTGCCGCCCCGCGCCAGCTGTGAGACCCCCACGTCCCCGCCGGGGTCCCACGAGCGCCCTCCGGTGCGCGGTCATCCCGGCCCACGCGCGGCGGCGCTGGCCCCGCGGCTTCCCAACTCCGCACCTGCCGGGGCCCCCGGCCCCCAGACGTGGTGGCGGAGGCGGCGCCGCTCCATCTCCCGGGCCCGCCAGGTGGAGCTGCTCCTGGTGGCGGATGCATCCATGGCACGGATGTATGGCCGGGGTCTGCAGCATTACCTGCTGACCCTGGCCTCCATCGCCAACCGGCTGTACAGCCACGCCAGCATCGAGAACCACATCCGCCTGGCCGTGGTGAAGGTGGTGGTGCTGGGCGACAAGGATAAGAGCCTGGAGGTGAGCAAGAACGCGGCCACCACGCTCAAGAACTTTTGCAAATGGCAGCACCAACACAACCAGCTGGAGGACGACCACGAGGAGCACCACGACGCCGCCATCCTTTTCACGCGCGAGGTAGGTACAGCCGGGTGGGCCTGTCCTGTGCGGGGCCCACGTCCCGTGGTAGGTGGAAGGGGACATCTTTCTGATCACTTTACTCGCCCCCCCCCAATTTTCTCCATCTGTGGATTGGCTCCATTGGGCTCTCGCAGAAACCCAGCCCGCCTCCACCCTGTCTGCTCCATATCTACTGAGCACCCACAGTCGCCTGAGGTGACTAGTAGTGCTTATGCAATCAATATTCAATACTGTTGGGTGCCATCCAGCCGGGGAGGAAGCCATGTAGGTACCCACGCCTGAGAAGGCACCGGAATGCTTGGCAGATGCACGGTCAGATGACAAAAGGGGAGAATTCAGAATGCCTTTGCAATCATGGGGCTTTCTACTGTCCGGCTGAAGTCAAAATTATGACTTCCTCTAACCTACTGGGAAGAGCCGGGTAGGTCATCCACTGCGGTCTCTTCTATCTGATTAATGATCTTCCTTGGGGAATGTCCCTACTTGAACCTTCTCTGCCACATGAATCCAACGGACTCCTTTTCTAATGTGGGATTGCTAATGACATGTCCACCTCGGGATCTCAATTCCTGGGAAGGAAGGGCGGCATGTGGGAGGTGTGGAGAGGGATGTGGAAGCCCAATCCGCTGAAGGGACACAAGTTGGGAGGTGCTTTGACACCGCTGCCGGTTGTCAGTGCCTCACAAGCACCGCCTTCTCCAAACTCACCCAGCCAAACAAGGGTTTCATCCAATTCATAGGTTTGGGGTTTTGGATGAATGTGTTTCTGAAGCCTTAGTGCAGAAAGTCTGGGCAAAGACTCAAGACCTGAGGAAGGAATGTTTTCCCAGGACTTCCCCATTTTAAGATGGTTACTGAAATGGGGGGGGGAGGTGGAGACGGGGAGAAGGAAGGGTGACATTCTAAATCCAGAGCCTCTGGGAAGAGGGAGGAGCACAGGATCTATTTACACTGTCATTAGACCACCAAGTCAGTGGTGACACAAAAAGTCTGGGTTGGTTTGGAGCCTGGCTTGCTCCTAGTTCTGAGCTTCCGTTTTTTTACAGCTCTGTTCAAATTGGCAGTTTTTAAGTTGTGCCTCTCAAATATCTGGTAAGAAATGACTTTTAAAAGGCTCACGCTTTTAGATGTCTGAGATGCATTCAGAATAGATGAAGGATTGCTAACTTTTAAGGTTGCAAAATGGAGCAAACAGAGCAAGGATAGGAAGTTAAATGATGCCTTGCAAGAAGCTTCAGAGATGTACAGCTTCACTACCTAATTTTTCTATTTTTACTAAAGTACCCCTGGTATGAAGGAAAAGCGCTGATAAAGTTGGAGTGGTGAAGCACTTGTGGCTCATAGGGTGGACACAAATGCAAACCACATGTAAACAAAGACACTGGAAGGCGGCACTTTGGAGAGATCCAGGCAGTCCATAGTGTGGTGTACAATGGAAAAATTTTTCTCCTCATTAAGTGATATTCTGGAAGCCATTCTTTAATTCCTTTGCACAACACTGGCCTTTGAAATGGTAGAACTTTCATGTCGTAGCCCGCCTTATGAGGCTCTCGTGTAAAACGACCCCTTTCCTACTTGGTTTCCAAATACTTTTTCTTTTTTTCTTTTTAAAGCAACTTTCCATGCCTGGGTTTCCTTGCTCTGCTACATCAAAAGAGCCTGCCAAGAAGCAGGCTTTGGAGAGTTTATGGAAGGAGGCTCCCTAAAGAAAGGGGAGGAAAAGAATTTGGAGGCATACTCCTTCCAAAGAGTAGGCCATGCTAATGATATTTGTTTTCATATTCCATTGTTCTAACAGAAATACATGCTAATAGAAATGTGATCATCCCTTGCCCTCTGCCCCATAACTTTCCTAATTGTTTCCCAGAATAAAGGAAACTAGTCTGTGATTCTAAATGATGTTTATTGCTTTCTCTGAGTCTATTTTTGGCTCACATAGTTGACAATTCCTGTTTTGGAAACTGTGAAACATATCAGTAGATTTTTAAGTTGATAACAAAACAAGCAAGAAATAAATAAATGATGGACCTTAATTTGAGTTACGATTGCAGGATGACACATTTTTTTAACTAGTATACACAATGGGCAATATTTTACATGATCTGCCCTCATCAAGCAGAAGTGTATTTTGCCATCAATCAGTTTGTAACTGGCTCTCTGTCCTATTCAGCCAACTTCTTAAAAACTGAATATTTGAAGAGTACTTACAGTAGGCACCAAATCAGATGGAGTACTACTAGAAGGCGGATAAAAAATATTTCAAGACCTATGACAGCATTCATTTGAGAGTATATAAAATATGAAGTAGATTTCTGATTCATACTTCAGAAGGCAAGAGAGAGAGAGAGAGATGATTTAAACTCTTCTGTCTCCTGGAAATCAGATCTGAAGGCCTAAAGGAAACGTTTCATGGCTATTTCTTTTCAATGAGAAATACCAGGAGTTGGCACCTGGATTCTACTTTTACAACTCTGTTTTGAATGTAAGAAGTGGGTTGCTTAGCAGCCAGACGCCAAGCCATCAAAACTATGTTTTGATGGGCTCTGAGTCCTGCTCAAATTTTGTATCCAGGTGTCTTCTTAAATTGCTTGTTTTTCAAGCATGAAGAAAATGTGAGAATATGTTTTCCATCTCTGTTTACCAGCTGAGGCCACCTTGAGCATTGTGTCTGGGAATCAGCATGGTAGCATTAATAATTTGTCTATCAAATCAACACACTTCATCCGCTTCACCATCAAGACTGTGCTCCAGCCCTTTGGCACTATTCTAATGAGGGTAACAGCAGCCATGCAGTGTCTGACACAGAAAATTGCTGAAATTTATACCACTTCTGTCATCAACACCCAACAGAAATCCAATCTTCCCAGGATTTATTTTGCTCTTCAGAGTCCATTTCCTTGTTGCAGACTTCCTCTTTTAGTTTAAAACAATTTCTTCAAAGACACTGTTAGGACCATTTCCAAGACTACTGGATGTCCTGTATTACACAGTTAGGGGATCTGTTAATTTCCCATCTTCTCTCCAGCATCTCAATGAAAACTTTACCTTTTCATGGATTGAAGCACTGGATGGAAGTTGGACCACTTAAGAGAATGTACAATATAAAAAGTTTATTCACTTTCATTACCCATTAATCTGCTCCTTGGTAGTCTTTTATCTCTCAGCTAAAATTGTCTTTTCTTCTTCATTCCACCTTATGGTTCTGGATTGGGACTTGAGTATTTCTCCTTTGCCACCAGGTTCGTTCTTAGGTTTTGAAATTAGGACCACTAGAAGGGGACATGGAAGAGTGAGAAGCATGTGTTCTTATTTGGCCAAATCAAATATTTGGGTTCAAATCCATTTAAGGTTGAAAGTAACTTTACCAAAGAATTATACCTAACAATCAATCTTTACCAATAAAAAGAAAGCTATATAACTCAATAAATGAAGAGACTAGTAGGAGCTGAAGCAACTGTCCTTTATCTTCTTAAAAATGATGAGAAATATTTAGCAAATAAATCTAAAGCCTATTAGAAAATATGCTACAGTGCACAGGACTGATTGCCTTGTTGTATTCTTTGCGTTGGGAACAAGGCCTATTGAACCTGCTACATGTGGGACACTCATTTAGGTAACAACAGACAAGAGGATGGTTCCAGTCCACCAGGCTGGCTACTAGCAGAAGAGGAAGTAGATACCTGTAAAGATCACTCCACTGTAAAGAAAACGGAGCTATAAACAAAGCCTATGAAAGGAACAAGGCGAGAACTATTATGTCTGCCTATGTGTCTTTACATAGGTCTCGAAAATATAGAATGAAATAGGTCCTCAAAGGAGATATCACTGTGACTTGGATTTAATCACTTGCTATTGAGCATTTCCTAAGTAATATCCATTGGTGTAAACGACTTTATCATTGATCCTTTCAGTAATCTGCAACTGTGGTATCATTTGTAAAACTTTGACAGTTAAGGTCATTTGTTTGAGGAGGAATGTCAATAATCAGCATGGAGCAGCCTCTGACTTAAGAGAGAAAATAGGCCTGCCTAATGCGCTGTGAACTAAAAGCATATATCTGATTTATTAAAACATTTAATATTTTGTTTATATAAGCAGAAATATGACTTGAAGGGTTAAAGAGTGACCCCTTTCCACTGTGTGGAAATGCCCAAAGTGGATCTATTGGTTTATTGCATTGGCTGTTAAGGTACATGTGACTGTCAAATATCACAGAGGCATATGGAGTTGTGTTGACCCCATCTCAGTTCAATTTTAAAGAAAGACTCGGAGTAACCTAAAAAGATTAGGAGGAGCTAAACATTACAGAGTACCAAAGCAGCATCTGTCATGGCCACAGGCAACACAGAGACTCTGTGAAATTTACAGAGTGAACTCTGATAGGACAGGAACAATCACTGAGTGGCTGGATAATTGATTCATTGTAAAAGACAATAACAATCAGGTTAAGGAAGAAATTACGTATCACATACATCATTTTGCAGAGAATGCATGGATTTAACAATGGCAAGAGAATTTTTCCCAGGGCTGGAAGCTGAAAAGTGTATAGTCATGGTTCTAGTTCATTTAGTGTGTGGTAAGGCACACCTCTTTCCCTCTGTGTACTCTCATAGTCTTTCCTTTGTTTTTGTGCACAGAAAGAGAGAGAGAGAGACAGAGACAAAGAGACAGAGACAGACATAGACACAGACACAGACACAGAGACACAGAAATGAGGGTACAGAGACACAGAGAGAGGCAGTTCTGTTCTAATCTTGATTAAAAATATTAATTGTCTCTCTGATCAGGGTCCCTCTCTTATGACCTCAGTTCAACTCATTTACTTCCTTATAATCTCTATCTCTAAACATGGTCCCACTGGGGGCTCATGCTTCAATTTAGGAATTTAAGGAGGACACAGTCCAATGCATAGCACCACGCTAAGAAATCCATGTGGTCAATTAAGTGGGAGTCAATGGAAAGTGTATTAGTGGGGAAATAGTGGCTGTCAGAGGATGTTCTGCAATGAGCCATCTGGCCTAAGTCACTGGACTGAATCCTACAGGAACTAAATTATTTCAGTAATCTAAACGGAAGGGAAAGCTCAAGATGGACCAAATTAAAGCATTGTTATTAGAAAGTTGAAGGCATAAATCCAGTGAAGAAATGTTTTAAAAAATCAAAGAGGGAAAAAAAGAGTACCTGGACTATGTTTTGAGGTCCAAAATAGCCATGAGATATGAAGGGAATAGTGGGTAGAATAGAGCAGAACTTGCCTGGTACGAGCCAGGATGTTTCTGTAAGTCCTTCCTTGATAAAACACTTCTCTTCCCAGACCGTCTGATTCAGTCAAGTGACTCCAGTCCTTTGACACCCTTTATGCTGGCTCTGAAAGAGAGTCTGTTAATCCTTCTATAACCTTCCCAAGACATGTTCACCACAACATACAACAGTTTGCTTCACTCTGCATATACCTGCGTTGCTCACTAGATTGAATCTTACTTCACTTATTTACAGTCAGCATTTAACACAATAGCAGTTGCATTCTGGACCTGCAATAACTGGATTAGGAATAAATATACCTGGATTTCTTAGCAGCCCTTGATCCTGCTGAGTGTTGTGTGTTTGGAACCATGTAGTAATATCTGGATGCATGGATAGAGATTTACAACATGAGTCACTGTAATGATCATTTTTACAGCTGAAGTAGAAAAATAAGACTCCTACTCTATAGGTAGCCTAGCCAAAAAACTATGATACCTCAAGAACCAGATCCATATTGTGAAGCAGTGGGAGGGAGTGGCTGAAAGGAAGTTAGATTTGATCATTCAATTGACTTTGGGTAGGGAAAAAGTCACACTAAAACCATTAATATGTATCATTAGTTCATATTAATCGAAAAAATAATTATAAGCATCAACCCCCTGAAACGTATGTATGAGCATATGTAAGTGTATGGGTATAATAGTTATAGTTAAATCATGTGTCATGGGTTCCACTATTAATTTTTCTATTGCCCATCTCTTTTTGGTAGAACTTACCTAGACAGAAAGGTAGACATCTGAGGCCAAGAAGGCTCACCCCTGTAATCCTAGCTACTCAGGTGGTTGAGATCTGAGGATGGCAATTTGAAGTTCAGGGAAGAAAAGTCCTTTAGACTCCATCTCCAAAATAAGCAGCAAATAACCAGGCTGGAGGCATGGCTGAAGTGGTAGCATGTCTCTTCAGTCAAACAGGTAAGCTGAAAAACATGAGGATGCCTTGAGTTCAGAAAACTACTTTCTGTCCTTCCTTTGAACTCTATTGCTGCCCTTACCAGGAGGTGATGTTTAGAGAAACAAAGACCATTGTTATTTAACTCCCATGTAGGTTGTTCTCACTAACTTTTGTCTACTGACACCACCACCGCTACACTTATGTATTTCTTCCAACTCTTTGTCTCAAAATATGCTATGCTACTTGTTACCCACCTGTCAATCAAAGCAGGACATCCTCCAATGCCTGTTTTGTGTTCCAGGCTTTTGTATTCAGCCCACTTGGCTTATTTCCCTATCAAGTGCTAACGGCTGGGATTTTCCTCTGGGTATTACTTCTCCACACAGAGTGTTTTGCTGGCTCCTTGGCTGTCTCTTGTCCTCACAAACAGGTCTCGGGCTCTATTGATACTCCTAAATCCCAGGAGAAGTCACAAGCTTTGCCACATTCATAGTCTTCCAACAGATTGCTGTAGTGATGGTCATACAATGTCAGTGACTTCTCTCCTAAACTTCTTCTGGTCTTATAGACCATCTCAAGTATATTTCAGTTTTATAACACCACACCACAAGGCCACAGTTCTATCGCCGCATACTTTTGCTCCCCTTACATGTTGCTTAGTCTTGTAATGCATTACTCTCCAGTGTTGTTAAGATGTTGATTGTGAAACAGAGCCATCCTTAATATGACAAATATGCATTTATCTTCAGATCCACACTGGATAAGCAGAAATAGCACACCTTGGCATTTTCACTTCAGTTATTTCTGACATGAAGACTATACATGATGTATACTACTTCAGGGCTTCCTGCTTCCGCAGCTATGTTATATATATATATGGTATTATAAATAAATAGGTATGCGTATAAATATATATAATGTACTATTTTTGCAGTAGTATCCTTACCCCTACATTTGATGTGTTAAAAATCCTTTACTTTGAAGGGAAGTTTTATATGTCACATTATAAATCATCTTCAGGAAAAGGACATCGATTGATAGGCTGAAATTTAACACAAGTTCCTTTCCATATACTGAAGGAATATTGGACCAAATTCAGATATTCATTGTAAGTTTTGGGAATAAAACCATAGAACCCTGTCAAAGTTTGAAATTTCATGAGTGAAATAGAAAAGTTGCCAATTTATAATTATAGCCACGGAAATATAACAGTGTGGCTGTGTAGTCAATGAGTTTAATCAGTGCAGTTAAAATAATAACAAGTGCTTCTGTTCAAAATTTTGTCACATGAACACATTTTCATGGCAAAAGACCAAATGCATTTCATAAAATTCAAAGAGGATGAGGGCTGATGGCCTCTAATGAGCAATTGATTATCAGTAAACAGAGAGATAATAAGATTTTGGCTTTAATTTCATTCAGAACAGGAAGGCTATTTCCTTTTGCTGTGGCTCTTCATTCAAGCCTATTAGTGAAGTAATGAGCAAAAAGTGAAAGCTTATCCCCAGATTTTATTATTTGAAGATAATGAACACCATACTCTAGTGATAGACATACATCTTGTTTTTAAAACATATATATGTGTTTATTTATATATACTTATATAAATATAAAATTTATATATACTTATATAAACATACATATGTGTATATACACATATGTAGAAGTAACTCACAATATATATCAATGCATTTAATCCATGACCTGGGATTTGTTCCTAGAATTACTAAATGATTGGATGAAGGGGGATTAAAAATATGTTAAACTATATTATTATCTCAAGGACTGATTGTTATGCAAAATATATTCCAGTTTGAATTTTAAAAACAATGAATTTGTTCTTTACAGTTGCAATTTGGGATCCCACAGGATGATACTTTGAAAGGCTATTTTTGATTTGGTACTTTGATTTGGCTATTTGGCTGTCTGAAGTTACAGTAGCATGGTAGCCAAAGTGAAATCCATCACAGCTGGGAACTTACAGAGAACAAAATAAGGACATGAGACCATATCAAAGAGAGGATTATAATATTTTGATGGTGTTTCACCTTAATTATATTTTATGCAACACCGTAGGGAAGAGTTGAAACACATGTTGATGATAAGTATATGGCATTGGTTGTCCATAAGTAGTGTCTTCTAAATACCTGCAGGCTGCTGAGGTTACCCCAACAGAGAGTATGTTGAAAGACCATGAATGTTACATTGAATCTGACTATATGTCACCATTCAACACCATTCAACATTGTGGCTTATATTTTCATACTAAGCTTCATAGCATGGCAGTGTTCTTCTCATTAGAATCTATAATTTTAAATTATTAAAATGAACTGGATCATGCCCCCCATTAGAGAATCTCTTAAAAGCTGTTCTTCACACACACCCATACCCACACACAAATAAATCTTATAAAAGCTATAAAACTTCACACACACACACACACACACACACATAGAGATAAAACTATATATACTCAGGTCTGTACATACAATCTACCTGCATTATTTATATTTCTGAAGGCGATCATATTGACACACACTGTATTAACTATAAGTTAGAGTTCACTGAATTTCCAAAAATGCAGTGTATGAAATTATAACTCAGTTTTGAAATTAAGAGATCATCTTGTGAGGACTCATACATATGAAGTAAAATTAATTTCTTATCCAGATCACCCATACGTTCACATTCTGTCACAAATATGTGGCAGTAGCTTTGCTCTGTGATGCAAAACAAACTAGTAAGCCAATCTTCTGATAATAGAAGTATAGATTTAGGTCAGAATATTAGAACTTGTCTAAATATGACCATCTGTGGAAGTCATCCTTACTACCAATACGTGTTATAGTTTTGTGAAAGTCAAATGGCTGAACTTGTATTGAACAAGCTACAATCTAAGACATCTTTTTACATGTAATTGAGACTCTTTATCCCTCCGTGGCTTTGGGTTCCAAAGTAGCTCAGCAGAGTTGCTGCATTGAGCTTGTCATTGGACTATTTCCAGGGCTGAGCAGGTGATACCATAAACATAGCCTGGTCTTGCCATTTGGGTGAGCAAGTGGCAGCGCATGGTGGCTTCCTCTGGAAGTAAATTGATTTTAATGATTTCTTTCTTTCTCCTGGGTAGGATTTATGTGGGCATCATTCATGTGACACCCTGGGAATGGCAGACGTTGGGACCATATGTTCTCCAGAGCGCAGCTGTGCAGTGATTGAAGATGACGGCCTCCATGCAGCGTTCACGGTGGCTCATGAAATTGGTATGCGGGGCCTTTTCTCTTCCCTCGCCAAATCAAACACTTGTAACAGCTGCAACAGGAACCAAAATACTTGGCGATTAATTCCAGATTTCTTCTGGTTCAGATGTACCATTGAGGATTAAATTTGTTTATATTTGCACTTTTAGGGGCTAACTAATGTGGGAGAAGGAAGGCAATGTCAGCCACACAGTAGATGTTTCCTTCTGACAGTGTCACTGAAAAGTTAAAGAGAGATTGGCTACTGCTACTGACTCCTTCCTGTTTTTGCAAACATCCCTAAATGACTCCTAGACAGAATTTGTCACAGTGGCCTATGGAATGTAGAGGCGGCCCTTTTCGGGGTTGCTTGAGACAGTATTTATTGACTGCTCCAGGGCTAATCAGTTTGCACAGAAATTTGCTTTGCTCTATCATGAGTGATCAGAGTTAGTTCCTGTCAAAGATCCTCAGTGGCTAGGGTAAAGATTTCTCTCTTTCCTAAATAGCAAGGCCATTGAAACCAAGCTGAAACACAACAAGTCTGCTCTAAAATGTCACTTGATTGGTTTGTCTTAAGAAACACATCTGAATCTTACAACTATCACTTTAAGGCTGGGATCACTGTAGAAATCCACACACTATAGAATGTATGTTTCCTAATCATGGATTTAGACTACTAGGTATGGGAAAAATTGACTTAGTGCTTAGGACAAGATATTAGAATTAGACACATCTGGGCTCAATACATCTTAAAACATTCTTGCTATCTGTATTCCATCAATCTAATTCTTTAAACTCTCTAAGCTTTGTTTTCCATAGCTGAAATAAAGGAATAAAACTACCTATCTAGTTGATAGGGTTGTTTTGGGGAACAAATTGGGACTGCCGTGGATTGCAGTTATTATATATACACATAGATATAGATCACATGTATTTCCATTTTGCTTTTTCAATAGGTTAATTTGCTTTCATTAGTTTCGATTTGCTTAATTTATATATCATTGCTTAGCATAGTTGTTGTGGAGAGGTACATGATGGTTTATTCATTATTGTGTTTGGATTTTTAACTTTTTCCTGTTTTTGTTAAGCACAATAAGGTTTTAAAAGCAAAAATCATAACAGTATTTATTTATTTATCTATCTATTTATTTATGCTGTACAAGGGCTTGAACTCTGGGCCCTGGGCATTGTCCCTTAACTTTTATTGTTCAAAGTTAGAACTCTACCACTTGAGCCATACCTCCATTTCTGGCATTTTGGTGCCTAATTTGAGATAGGATTCTCAGGAACTTCTCTGCACAGACTGGCTTCAAACCTTGATCTGCACATTCTCCATCTCCTGAGAAGAGAATTACAGGTATGAGCCATGGGCACCTAGTTATAAATCCATAGCTTTTAAGTGGAAAATAAAACTTCTATAGACATTCCTAGAAGGCAGAGATTATTTTCACAAAGGTCAGTTTCCAGCTCTTATATTTCCTTGTGGGCTCAAAAGTAACTGCTAATTAAAGGTGTCATTTCATGAGTCTAAACAGGATAGCAATGATAGAACTAAGCAGTTAAATTTCACCTATTAAATACTAATTATGACATTAATATTCCTGACACTCTTCTTACCATCTAAGCAACAATAACAAAAGCATAAAACCTTGAAGGAAATAACCATCCAACAGTATCCCTGGTGATAATTCACCTCAACATAGTGAGCATCCTTGGTCTCAGGAGCCAAAAATCTGAGCTAAGTCCTAGCTCTGCCTCCATGTTTGTTGTGATACTTTATGCAGAGGTTTTTCTACTTTAGCTTTGGTATTTCCTACCTAGTAGACTGATAATGAAACTGGGCTCTCTCTCTCTCTCTCTCTCTCTCTCTCTCTCTCTCTCTCTCTCCTGTGCTACCCTGGCAGAGTCAATGTGCCTGAAAGTGTTTAGTAAAGCCCAAGCCATTTGAGTTGGAGGGTGGAGATTATGTCATCACTTGTCTCGCACTCCATTTATAAAACTAGCTGGTGAAACACAGCTTAATGGAGAACTTTACTCAATATTTATTACATATCCAGATACGTGCAGGAGTGACCAAGTGGGAGAATGCCCCACGATAGCTATTCAAGGTAGCATTCCCCACTCTAGTAGAAATGAAGAGGAATTAGCCCCCAACACTTAAGAGGACTGTAATTAAAGGAGAATTTTGTTAAGGATGTCAGTAACTAATCACCATTACTCAGAGTGAAAGAACTTCTGTAAGACAGCTGCTCAGTCTCTGAGAGAACAGAATGGCTCCTCTGAGGGTGGGTGGGGAAATAATGGGAAAGCTAAGCCACTGAGATAGAATTGGACTTTGCCCATCCACAGGGTTAGGAACTGTCACTCTGATCTGAAAGAGGTTACACATTCCTCACAGAAGGGTTATTTCTGCCTGGTTCCCTGCTGACTTGTAGTGATGGGTTTGCACACACTATCAGCATCTGAGAAGTTTCCCTGACAGAGCCCTGGTGGCAATCAAAGCAGCTTCTTCAAGACCAAATGCCTTGACTCTCAAGCCAATGGAGCTGGAGTGAACAGCTTAACATCCTCCCCAGCCTGCACACATCCCTATACTGGGGCTTCGGGTTACATAGGTGAAGGCAGCAAATCGAAACGTAGGAAGCTAGGTTCCGATAAGAACACACAGGGCCACTCATGATGCTGCCCAACTGCCATTCTAGCTATCCTGAAAGGCAAACGTTAGAAAGATCATGGTGTAAGGCCAGCCTGGAAGAGAGGTAAGGAATTAGCAGAAGTTATCTTCATCAGCAAGCTGGGCATGGTGACATGACTATGTAATCACACCTATGTGGAAGGCTTGATCAGGAAGGTCTGGATCTTAGACCAACCCTGAGCAAAAAGAGGAGATCATATCTGAGAGAAACTAAAGCAAAAAGGGCTTAGCTCAAGAGGAGAAGCACTTACCTAGCAAACACAAAGACCTGAGTTCAAATCCCAGGACTGCAGAAAAAAACAATGAGCAAACATATTTAAACTGTACATAAACATTCTATGAAATATATATATATATTTAAAAATATAGTATGAATTTACCTTAAAAGTATATTAATTTCCAGAATTATGTAAGATACAAAACATAGGAGATAGATGAGCTTTAGATACAAAATCAAACCTAAATCATTGTTGTATGTTTACACCTGTGTCCCCTTTAATTTCATGGTTGGATCATTTCTATTTACTTTTTTTATGTTTCTATAACTTATTCTTCAATAAAACACTGACAGCTTAATTTCATCTTTGTATTACGAATGGCCTAATCTGAGCTATTTAAGATCTGGAGGCAGTGGAGCATGGCTTTAATTCTCTTTTCATTAAAAAAAATATATGGCTTTCATTCACTTTAGTTTCTAATTGCATTTTTCTTTAATTTTTTCTAGTCTTCAACATCATGAACATACATTATAGAGTGTGAGCCTTAAAGGTTTTAGAAAAGGTAACCTCTCCGAGGACATTCTAGTCCACTGTGTGTCATTAGAGTCTTCTCCCTGTAGCCTCTTTCATCTTCTGTAATACATATCTGTTCCAAAGCTTTTATTTTTGGATTGAGGCATGAAACTCATAAAGCTGCCAACCAAGCCAACTTCCTCATCATCTGGATTCTAATCCTGCTCCATTTTTCTTATGCAATTTCCTTCCTTCCCTTTTTATTAGAGGCTTGCAAGTGGCTGGATTTGGAAGTTTTATATACAGTTTACGTATGGTGATAGAAATGGTCTTTTGAAACCTCATTTTTCCAGTATTTCGTGTCTGCCTGAAACTCATTCCAAAATGTGCAGTTTGCTTCGTGCAAACAGTGTCAATGTGTTATTGCATGCAAAAACACAAGCTGGGGGAAAATTTCCAGGCTGCTCTCATAACTCCTGAACTTTATTTTTTCTACAAGCAGTAACAGGATATATTTAATGAAGAATAACACTTTCATTAACTGACTTACAGGTTTTCATGGTAGTCTAGTGGCTTCCCTTTTATTCTGCATGATGGTGGCTTAAAGTACCAAGTCTGAATTATCTTATGAACAAAGAAAGTGGATCTCAGTGTTGATTTTTCTTTTACTCCCATCACTTAAAGAGAAATTCCTACACTGAGAATGAACACGAAAGAAGATCAAGCAAAGCTACCATGAGAAGTTGTACCATTTCTATCCATTATGTTAATGCCTTCCATGATGGTCATGAAATGTTAGCTGAATTGTCAGAACATCTCAGAGAGCTACTTCAAACCATCCAAACCCAGCCCTCACCCATGTCTCTTGTATCTTGGGTGAGAAGGAACATGTTGACTGCTATTGTACCATCCAAATGTGAACTGCAGAAACATTTTCAAGTTGATATAAGTTTATATTTTGAGTTGGTATTTTTAACTTGTCAAATTTCATATATATATATATATATGTGTATATATATATATATATATATATATGCTTGTAATAATAAAGATTTCACCTGCTGCACACATGGCTGTTAAAACCACTAATTTTATTGATATTGAGCCAGCTTCCAATTTGCTAGTAGGGTAGCAATACGATCTTATTTAATGAAACCCTTAATTTGCAAACATGTCAGTGGTTGGCTTTAGTGTAGTTAATTATAAAAGGTACTAAGGGACTATGCCTGTGGACGACTCCAGTGAGTTTCCCTAACCCCTTCCAGGCATTTTGACAAAAGTTAAGACTCAATATTCAGCTGAAGCTTAAGAAGTGGTGGAGATACAACAGCATGGCTGCCTGTCTTTTGCTGTGGTTAGAGGGTGTTCTCTGGATGTGCTGATCTGCCTGGGAATGTGCTCCTACCAATGATTAGATTAAACAAGGGTATGTTTTGAAAAGCTAGGGAGGCCCTGACAACACGATAGACCAAAGCCAAGGGCCTAGAATCAAGATCCCAATGGCCACGAGATGTGAGGCAAAGAGGAAGTTAGGATTAAACTTGTTATTTGTTTAGCCCCAAACCTAGCGCTTTAATCCACATAAACTGAGCACG